ATTTCTCTGTCTCTGAAAACAGCAGCTCTATCATCCCAGCAGCTCAGGCCAGACTCTGCGACTCATCCTTGGTTCCCTCCCACCTTCTTCTCTTACCTCTCAGCTAAGCACACCAGTGTAGCCAGCTGGTCTCTACCCTCAAAATGCATACAGAACTCTATTATTTCACCATCTGCTGCTCCTGTTCTGCTCATGGCTGCCAGACCTTTTGTCTGAATGGCAGCCCTGGCCCAACTCTTCCATCCCTGCAAAACAGTAGCCAGAGTGACCTTGCTAGAAAAGATAAGTTAGGTCACATCATGACTTCACTGAGACCATCGTGTGGAGTCCCATTTCACTCAGGGTGAAAGTCAAAAGTCAATATAAGGACCCACGAGAACCCATTGTCTCCCCCAAACTCATCCCATTCTATCCCACCATCACTCTCCTTTAGCTACACTGGCCTTTCTGCTATTCTAGTGTGCCTAGTGCTAACTGCCTCTGGGCCTTCCCACTTGTTGAGAAAATTCTTTTGTTTTGGTTTTTGGTTGGTTGGTTGGTTGGTTGGTTGGTTGGTTGGTTGGTTGGTTTGGTTTGGTTTCAGACATCTACATTCCTGCATTGCCTGGCTCCCTTCAGATTTCTGCCTAATTATTACCTCCTCAAAGAAGGCTCTCTTACATAACCTGCCTTTTCTAAAATGACATTCCTCTCTGTTCTCTTACCTGGCTTCAGCTGTTCTCACCGCACATTCTATCACATAATCATCGATTTCTTTATGGTCTGTCTCCTCCATCACCACGTGCGTCTCATTAATGCAACAGCTCTGTGGCATCTGTTTGGCACTTTAAGCCATGTAAGAACAAATAATCACTTATTGAAGGAACTCTGCAAGAATGAACAATCCATCTTAAGACAATGCAAAGTTTATCCAGGCTGTATATAATGGTCATAATATGAATACCATTCTAGGACACAGAGTGGCCCAAATAAATAAAATGATACTATTAAAATAATCTCATCAATCACAAAACTCTGATTAGTTTTATACATTGATGGAGACCTTCTTAGCCACTAAAAATGCCATCAAGTCGATGAGCCCATCCCATTTTTGCAAGAGCATGATGATCAATAGAGTTCCTCAATGAACCACTAATGCGCATTATGCCCTGACCATAACATTGTTTGTTATGGTTTATTTGAAAAATAAATTGTTTATTTGAAAAATAAATCTGTTTAATATATATAGACACAAAAGTATTGAATTTTCAATGGTCAAAGATCAATTTAACTTTAATCTTTATAATAAACTGTGTTAAATGTAAAACAAATGTGACATTTATCTTTTTTGTTTTGTTTTAGCCAAGGCTGGCCTTGAACTTACTTCATAGCTAAGGATGACTTTGATATCCTGGTCCCTTCTGCCTGCATTTCCTAAGTGCCAAGTGCTATAACAACAGGCATGTTCTGCCACAGCCATGTAGAATCCTTAAGCCATTATGAATAGGAACAAAATCTACATTACTATTTCCTAAGTATTTGTTTCTTAATTAAAAATCATCATCTTATAAAGTTGGTGAGACCAGAAAAATGCTGTGGTCCACAGGTACAATAACAACGAGCAAGAGAGGTGTGAGCCATTTCTGTTTTCATTTTGAAGAAGACTAGCTTAGCTTATGAATACTGCAAGATTCAAACCTATAACAGAACAATGATTGTTTGCAGTGTTATTTGTGTTTTAATGCAAACAAGGCAGAAGGCTGACAAAGAGGGAATGAAATAACATCCGACAAACTAGAATAAACACCCTCATTAAAAGGGGCTACTAATTTTATAGTCTATTTGGGAAAAGTACATACATACACACACAGAGACAGAGGCAGTAGGCAAAACAACAAAGTCCCCTTTGTTGGCATTTGTCAAAACATTTTCAGAATACCCAAAACTCCCCATTACGACGTTCTGAGTTATCTCCTCCTATGGAAGATCACGTGTCATAAGGAATTAGTATATTTCAAATTAACATCCCCATCAGAAGTCAGGTATAGAAGTAGTGACTCTTGGAAATAACAACAACAAAAGCCTACAAGTACTAGGAATAGCATCTGTAACTTCCAAAGAGCAAGTTCTGCTGGGGTACAGGTCACTATTAGCAAAGCACAGTTTGCAGCTGGACGTGTAAACAGAGGAAAAGATGGTTCTATAAAAGGTAGTTTATGTAACTTAGGGGAGAAAGACAAACAAACCCTTCCTAAAGAGATGGGGACCTGGAGGGAATCAGGAAGTGTGAAAGAGTAGATGCTTAGGGGGAAAAAATAGGAATGCCCTCAGCACAGGAGACACCAAATACACTAAGGCTTTAGCTTCTTCTTTACACACCATGAGGACAGCTGACAGCGTAGGAACCCCATAACTAGGAACAATCAGAGCCTTCCTCAAGAAAGTTACATGAGGCAGAAATACTTGCACAAAGAAACTTGTAGATCTTTTAGTTATATCTTAATACCCATATTAATATGACAATAGCAGAAATAACACTTTAGGTAATTTTGCTAATACTGAACATTTACTAAGTATACAGTATGTGCTGAGTACTGTAGGCATGTTAAATAGGTCACCTTGTTTCACAAAAGCATTTGCTAAGCCTCATTTAATGATATAATGACAACGTGTATTATGCAAATGAATATAGCTAGCTCTCAGCTCTCAACCTCTCTGCAGTGGAGCCAAGAATCAGTAAGGAAACAAAATCAGGTACTAGCCTTCCAGGACCATGGCTGAGAAGAAGTCTTCTCTCCGAGTTCATCACAAGAGAAATAGCAGCATTTGCAACCTTTCTGGCTTTCACTCAGAGACGGGCTGTTTTTAAAACTCAAAATAAAAATCTAAAGAGTCATTTCACTGCTCTACTTACCTCATTACAACCTGGTGGTTTATTGATACCAGTGTAATAATTCCTGGAGGGCAAGTATGTTGGTATGTTCACTGTGGCCTCAATATGGAACAGAACTCTTAGAGAATCTTGCCTACTCCGCTTCATTAATAATGCTGATAATGATCCTCGTGATCAAGTGGATTACATTATAGATAACACAGTTTAAGAGAAGAAAGAGGAAAACATCATTGTCAAGACTCCATCCATTGTTAGCAGTCAAATAAAGGTTTGAGGGTCAAAGAACACCCAGCTGTCCAAAAGAAAAAAAGGAAAAGAAGGGAAAGGAAAGAAGGAAGGAAGGAAGGAAGGAAGGAAGGAAGGAAGGAAGGAAGGAAGGAAGGAAGGAAAGAGGGAGGGAGGGAGGGAAGGAAAGAAGGAAGGAAGGAAGGCAAAAAGGAAGGAGGGAAGGAAGGAAGGATGGATGGAAGGAAGGAAGGAAGGAGCAAGCTTGATAATTAAGGACAACTTTAATGAGTAACTGCTGGAAATTCCAAACACTGAACTTTGGGGTGATGTGTGCGCAGCACATGGTGTCAAGGCACCTGAATCCACCCTGTTGCTGGTCAAGTGGAGTTGGGGCTCTAGGAACTGGCTCCTGTGTACCGCATGACCTTGTTCCTAAGAGCAGCTCTGACAGTATGGAAACAACTACTCAACGCCTCCACAATATATCTGTAGCTGCCACAATTGTGGAAGAGTACACAGAATTCGCAATCACGCACCATTCAGGTTTGTAAGAAAGTCTAAAAGAATTAATCCTTACTGGCTCACCACGTATATGTCTGCTTTTTTCTCGGGGATTGCTTACCAACAGGTTGAAGTCAGGGGATGAAGAATTTGAAGCGAGGCGCAACCCTGATGAAAAGCTGACAACCAGAGCCGAGTGTGGGTGTTCCTGCTTTAAATATGAGACTATTAAACGGCAGAGGGTCGTGTCCTTCTGCAAGGACACAGCTCTGGGTAAGTGGCTGAGGCTCTGCATCATACAGGGCTAGGGCTAAAATGTGTCATTAGAAGGGCTCTTTCCCTTTTAGGTGCAAAGGTTTCTTTTTCTCTTTCCTTTCTTCCTTGCTTTCTTTATTTTGTGAAAGAGAAAACAGAAGTTCTGAGTTGCGTTCACATCCTCTGAACAGAAACTTTCCGACAGGACCAAAAGAGCAGCCCTGCACTGCAAGGTGACTTTCGAGCTGCCTCTGAGGAACCCAGTGCCTTCTAGGCCTTCCAGGGCTGCATTTTAACCAAAAGCCCCAAAGAGGTAGCTCCAAGCAAGGCTAAGGCCACGGGAGTCCCGTGCCCCCATGCTACCTGAGCACCAGACCCAATGAACGAAAGCAGAATCTCCAGCGAAACTTCTCACTTCCTGTCACTGCTGAGGGGGGCTGGACTGGCTCCTCCGCTCACGTTTTCAGAGAAGCTGTAAACACAACCTTTCTGCTTGCCAGCTGGCCACTGGGGCAGGTTGGGCGGGGGGGGGGGGGGGGGGGGGGGGGGGGGGCTGGTGGCGGGGCTTTCTGAAGCATCTCTGTGTCCCGCTCCTCTCTCTGACTCTGACCAGGATCACTTCGGTACAGATAACGGTACCAAACGCCCTCCACTTCCTAGAGTCCTCATGTATGGCACGGTTCCTCTTTCCAGAACGTGGGGATCAAATGTAAAACAAAAAAACAAGTCAAAGCAAAATCACTCCATCACTTCATTTCATCCTTTCTCATCATTATTTTAGAGGCTGATCGCTCTTTGTTAACACACACTCACACACACACACACACACACACACACACACACACGCTCACTCACGGGAGGGGGGAGGGGCAGAAAGGTGAAACGCGCTGTAAGAGAACTTATTTCTTCCCGCCTCCCAGAAACCATTAGGATTCCACACACCCTCTCCGGGCGCAAGGCTTCAGTGTTCGGCTGAGAAGCTAAACCGTTTCAAGGCAAGTAAGGAAAAGCCCCCAGGCTGAGAGCCGAGAGGCAGGGCAAGCTGAGCGCACCTAGATGTTTGCATTTACACAAAGAAATTATCCGGATGATTAATGGGAGCCTGGGACGCTCTGGCGACGGGGTCGCGGGCTGGCCTCCATACCTGGGACATCTGAGGCCTCAGGTTGATCTCCTTCAGGTTGATGGAGTGTGCCCGCAGGTTGTTAAGCAGCTGGCAGAGCAGGACTCCATCGCGGAGGGTCTGCGCCAGGTCGAACACCTGCGCCGAGTCCCAGGTCACCCGATGGTTGGCGGGGAGCACTTTGCAGTGGATGAGCCACTGAGCGCACTGCTTCCACGGCTCCATGCCCGACGGCTCTGGGACCCGGCCCGGCAGGGACGGGCGGCGACGCCGAGGTGGCCGCCGCGGAGCTTCAGCGCCGCGCCGACGCCAGTCGCCGGGGCCCCTCGGTGGCCCCGCTTCTCCGGAGCGGGCGCCGCTGCCGGCGGCTCCGGGGCGCCGCGTGGGACTCGCCTCGGGTCCCCGCCCGGATGCGCCGCGGCCGGGCCGCCGCTGCAGCAGCGAGGGCTGCGCGCTCTCCGTGCGCCCCGGCCGGGTCGGCGGCGGACTGGCTTCCGACTCGCGAGCCCGGCGCCCCGCGACTGAGCATGCCCAGCGCGCCGGGCTGCTCTGTGCGCTCCCCGAGTCCCCGGACGCGCGGGTGCGAGCGCGCCCGCTGCCCTGGCTGGGGGTCGGGGCCGAGGGCGGGGCGGCTGGGGGAGGAGCGGGCCGAGCGGGGGCGGCGGCCACAAAGGGGATCCCGGCGCCCCCGCCCCGCCCGCCAACCCTCGGATGCGCCGGGCGCTGGCTTGCACAACCCGGGGCGTCCAGGGATCAGCCCATCGCCGCGGCTTGCTAGGATGTGAGGCTGAACACAGAGTTACACCGGGGTGGGGTGTCCCCCGGGACACCCTACGCAACGAACGCGATTTAAATTAAGAGGCTCAACTGGGACACGGGGATCCTAGAGAAGTGAGCTGTTCGCTCCGCGCGTCTGGAGAACACAACAGAGAAAGTTTGCGATCGGGGCCCCTCGTTCCGCCTCCTCCGGGTCCACCCTCAGCCCCTTCCTCCAAGTGAGTTACTTCTGAGGATGTTTTGACATCCGAAAAGTGTGTGGGGTGGGGACAGCCGCAGCCTCCAGCCTGTGTGTAGGGAGGTGGTTTTCACATATCGCTCCGGCTCTGAACTGTTCACTCACGCAGCCCTGCGCCTTCTGCTGAGCCTCTAAAACCTGCCTGAGAAAAACAGGCCGGTGACACGGAGGTGATGAACGCGCATGCGTGGGTCACTTGCCACCAGGTTTGAGCTCAGATTGCTTCAGCGCTGAGAGACTCCAGGTCAGGATATTCGGAGAAGGCCTTGGAAAGTGGCCCCCCCAACACCACCACTTCAACTCTGCGTCCCTCTGTCCACAGGGACACAAGGCAGCCCCTGTCTTTTTAGTTCCCGCTGCCCTTCGAAGCCGGTGCTTAATTTATTTGTAGCAAGATTTTACCACGCTGAACTCTGACAGCTCCCTGTAAATGCAGTTCTTCACCACTATACGTAATCCAGTTTGGTGTGTGTGTGTGTGTGTGTGTGTGTGTGTAGTTTCATTAGATATTTGTAGCTCAAGTTTTATATTGTGGATCATCTTGATTTTATAAGTAACACAAAACTGTAACTTAAAAAAAAATACTTGCTCTGTTGGGTTATTTTCTGCGTGACTATTACCAGCATAGCCTGCTGTATACACAGCCAGCCTTAAACAATAAATCAGCCTGAGGATTTCCTTTCCTCGCATGCATCCGTCCCCAGGAACTTCCTCTGTGCTCACTGTGAGTCCATCAATAGCACAATGTTTCCTAGACCACAATAGGTTTGAAAGCTTGAAACTATAGAAGTACCAAACCTTAGCAATACTGTGACACCATAACTGTAGAGTGCATGGCAGGCATAAAGATTATCAACAGTAATGTTCTAATAAAACAAAATATTATAATCATATATTGTAGTAGAAGTTATAGAAACATATGGGCTTTTGCTTTCTAGAATTTTCCATGTGGTAGTTTTGATTGGCTGTTGGCTGCCACTTTAAAAAAGTCAGAATGCAAAACCATCCAGAAGAGGCAAGTACTGTAGGCCTAGGCCGTGCTACAAATACATTTTAGCAAACAAAATACACCTGGCTATTAAAACATGATCCTGCATAAAAGAGAAATGGCACTTGAAAAAAATTACAATGAAAAATAGGCAAAGTCAAAATACCCATCCCTTTTTAGCATCAGATCACCCTTGAACACTGTTAAAAATTTCCAAAACCTAGATCATATGTACCATGCCGGCAAACAAACCTGAATTTAGAATCTCTGTGAAGCTGCTTTCGGACAACCCTGGGCAACTTCTATTCCGCTAACATTCATTTTCCACACCTATAAAATGGGTAAAATGGCCCTTGCCCCATTGGGTTGTCAAGATCAAATGATTCCATGCCTTGCTATATGGAATGAATTGTGTAGACAGGAGTATCATGCGGACCTTGTAAGATTCTCAGGCACTCTCCAGACTGCATGAATAAGACCCCGAACTGTAACAGGATCCCCTGGTAACATATGTATTCCCATCAAAAGCTGGAAGGCCTTGACAGAAGGAGGGGAGTTTGTGGTGCCTGTCTCAGGAAGAGCTTCATAAACACCGCTCATGCCCCTGTGCATGCACAAAAAAAAAAAAAAAAAAAAAAAAAGGCAGCAAAGACCAAATAAATCCTTTTACTTTTAGGGTTTTTTTTAATGTATCACAGTTAACATATAAAATATTACTTCAGAGCATAATACTCAAATATTAATCCAGAACGTGTCTAGAAGGGCAGGGGAGGTAGCTGGAGATCTACATGGGGAATGAGGAGGAGTTGCGGGCCTCTTCAGCTAAGTGAGGAGCTAAATGGCAAGAGGTGGTAGTGAGTGTCTGAAACCGGGGCAACAGCAATCGGGACCGGGAAGGACGGCTCAGTGGTAGAGGCCCTGCTTCAGATGTGCAAAGCCCTGCACTTCACGCACACACACCTGAGCTGCGTTCTCCTTTTAAAATTCAATCTCTCACAGTGATTTGGAAGACACTGGCAACTGTTTCTTATATCCAGATATAGAAATTTGGGTTTTGGTCCTACTGTGAAAGAGCACCAAAATGGTCCCTTATTGGCATATGAGGAAGGGGGACACTCCATCACTTTCTCACTGCCCACTGGGTCAAGGCCTCTACAGGAAACTTTATACACATTATCTGCAACAAGATGCAGCGCCCTCCCCAAGACACCTTATTGATGAAGACAAGGCCCAACAGATCAAAGGTGCTAAGCACTTTTGCTCCTATTACAGATTTAAGGAAGGCCAGGTCGCACACCTCCGTCTGCACTGTTTCTCTTCAGAGGTGCAGCGCCCCACTTGGAGACGTCTACTGACTTAGATGTATCTCCCTCTAGTAGACTACGCCAGTGGAAACGCTCGTCTTCAAGTTCTCAGAGCTAGCCTGGGTGCTTCTTGGTGCTTGTTGCACCGTGGACTCTCAATAAACGTCAGCCGCTTAGCTCCGTGAACGAAAGGATCACGTTACCCCCTCTGCTCTCTCTCGTACACCTCTCTCCTTACAACACTCTGCCTTCCCCGTTGTGAAAACATCAGGAATGAAACAAGCACATCAGCGTTCTTTGTGCAAAACACATGGAATTGAACTTTTCCTTTCCCTCCAGGACTTTGAGGGTGTGGAGGGTGAGGAGGCTATTTTCTGCTTCTTTCTTGTAGTGTTATGCTTCTTTGGCCATGCTTTACTACTAAAGTATGAAAGCAAGCAGATAGGTGGGACCCTGAGCATCAGAAAAGGCAGCAGGTGATGGATATTATGTGCTGAGCCCCCTTTCTATGCTCTAAATCTCAGGACAATCGGGAAAACGGTTACGTTGGTTAGTTCTCCCATCGCTGTGACAAAACACCTGACAGGAAGCAGTTTTAGAAATGGGAAGGTTCTTCTCCAATGCACAGTTCGAGATGTAGTTTGCCACAGAGGGGGAAGGCAAGAGCTAGAAGCCAGCTAGTCACTTTTCAATCCATAGTCAGGAAGTTGGGTGTGAACAGGAAGTGGGCCCAGGCTGGAAAACTGCAAGGCCGTCCTCTGTTGACTCACTTCCTCTAGCAAGGACTTCCTAAAAATGTCTATAACCTTCCCAAGCAGTGCCACTAGCTGGGAACTAAAGGTTGAAATACATGAACCTATGGGGGGGGGGGGGGGAGGGTTTATATTATATTTAAACCATAACATTTTCTAGTGGGCCTCCAAAAGCTCATGACCATCTCATGGTGGAAAATGCAGTCATTCCAACTTCCAAAATCATCATGTTCTTTAACATCCTCAACACTCTTCTCACGTTCAAATTCTCTTCTGAGGCTCCAGACAATCTCTTAATTGTGAGGCCTTGTAAAACCGAAAAGCAAGTTACATACTTCCAACATATAAGATGCAGGGAAACATTCCCTGGTAACGTAAAGGTAAGAACGATGGCCCAGCAAATAATAACTGGAAAAAAGGACGAATGAAATTCAACAATGAAAAACCAAATTTTGCAGCTCCACGTCCAGCATCTAGGGTTAAAGATAGCATTGTCTGGGATTCTTCGAATGATTTGGGCAGCCCTGTCCCTCATGGTCTTCACCTCTAGCACGTATAGCCTCTCTCTTTAGTCAGCTCCACCACATGCCTGCAAGCCTCCTTAACATACGTTCTGGCATCGCCAACATTCTAAGGCCTCTAATGCAATGCAACAGCTTTCATGCAGTGGCCTATCAGGGCACCTTGTAAGGAAGGACTTGGACCCTGTCACACATTTTCTGGCCTGGAAAGTGATCTATAATCATGATCAAGATTCCATGACCCCTCACTCACTCTGCATCTTTCACGTCTACAAAACAATTATCATGCAGACAACGCTACCAAATTCTGCTGTTCACTTGAGATGGTGCCTGGCCCCATTAGACCACAACTGTGTACTGACTGTGAAGAAATGCGTTCCTGGGATATTTCCCTTTGAACCTATGTTCGGTGGCATTCCCGGCTTATGCCCTTTCTCTTCTCTCTCTTTGTGTACAAGATGGATCATCACCTCTGATGTTGATGAGATGTGAAAGTTGCATCTTGCCTCGGGAAACCACTCCTGTTGTCCAGAGCACCGCTTTTTCTCGTTCGTGGAGCTGACCTCTTTAACAATCACTGAGGCTATGTCATCTCCACTCCCAAAATTTCAACCTTTTTCATAATCCTTTTATCACAAAACTCCACGTTTTTCTTTTCTTTTCTTTTTTTTTTTTTTTTGATCTGTTATTTGCTCTTTCACTGTGGACCCGAATGAAAACAGTAAGCAATAATCCAATAGAGCCTAAATACGATCTTATCTTGAAATTTTCTTTATCAAGCAAACTACTCAATTATGTTTTGTTGGCATACTTTAAAAACAAAACTCTTTTATTTACATTTTTTAATCTCTTTCTCCCTACTTCACCCCAATCCATTCCAACACCCCAACACCAGGTAGGAGAGAGAAAGGGTTAGTGAGTGGGAGAGGGAGCACAGTTCTCTTAGTTGCTTCCTGCTGGTTAGGATCCTCTGGTTCCTTGGAGCCAGTCCAATCCTCCTTTCAGGAGATCTCCAACTTCTTGTCTCACTGCATCAACAGCAAGAGGAGCCGCAACAGGGAAGCAACAGCAGCCTTGTTCTTTCTGGGGCCACCCCAACACTCTCTGAGCTCTGGCATTAATTCTCTCTCCAGAGTCCTCAGATTTAAACTATCTGAGGAGCAAAACGCTCCTCTCAGAGCCCACATGAGGCAAATAGTTTGCTACTGTGGACTATCTAAATCAGTCCCACATCCCACACCTGGGATTAAAACAAAAACATGTTCATATCCACAACAGTGTTTAAATCTAACCTCACTCCACTTCTCAAGATGTGGGCAAATTCGGTAAGGTTTTTTGCCAGAATACCACATGAATGGCCCTTAGCCATCATTCCTGATACAGTCCTTGTTCCCTCCTGAAACCTCTGCTTGCATTTCTTTCAGTATTCTAGTCTTCCGAGTTCCCACCATAGTGGTCCACTAAGCTCTGCATACAGCATGTGAGGACTTTTCTAAGCCATCCCAAACTCTTCAGATGCTCTCCGCAAACGAGTTCTAAAGGCCTAAGAACCCATGGTAAGGTTTATCATAGAAGTATTAGTTTCTTTTCTCTTTGCTGGCACAAAATACCTGTCAAGAAGTGATTTCAGGAAAGAAGGGTTTGCTCTGGCTCCCTCTTCAAGCAGATGCAGTCCACTGTGGCAGGAGAGGCATGATGGCAGGAGCTGGGAGCCTGCTGGCCACACTATGCTCCACAGTAAAGAAGATATGTGTGAAAAGGAAGGGGAGACAGACTATAAAACCTCAGATCTCACCCTTACTTAGAACCTCTAGCAAGAGTCCACAAAGTAATGGTTCCACAGCCTTCCTAAATACTACCACCAGCTGGGAGTTGAGTATTCAAACATGTGAGTTCATGGAGACATTTCTCATTCAAACCATAACAGTAGTGACTGAAGAAGCCCCTTGGTTGTACACCGGGGCTTAAAGTATGTAAAGACTGTGACAAAGGATGTTAGAGCCGTGTGAATCCATTGCTGGCCACATCTTTATTGCTGCCCAGTTTTTATTTTCTCTCTCTTTCAACTCTCCAGTTTACAAAAACATCCAAATCCATCTCCTGAGATTACAAAACCCTTATTTTACAGTTCTCCATGTTTTGCGTGTTTCTTATCACTAGAGAAGTAGGACATGGTTATTATATAGCATATCATGGGATAAGTAAACGTCTGAAGGAACCACAGATGCAGGGATGTATTATAAGCTTCAGATTGAAATCAAGATGTTGGCCTTCTGGGGCAATGTTCTTCAACCACAATCAAATGTGTATGTTTTCACATTAACAGAAGGATGTGGGCTTTATTTATTTATTTATTTATTTGTTTTTGAAAATTCTGTACTGACTCTAAAATAAAACCCAGAAGACTATTGTGATATAGGGTGATGCTGGAATTGGATTACTACTGTGGATCCTTTAAGCAATGTGTCCCGGTCAGTGTGTATCTACAAAAAGTAAGTTCAACTGATGCAGCATCTCGATGGAGTCATGGGAATTTCCTGACCCATCGGTGTCTGGATAGTAATAGTATCAGCTATAACAAAATGGCAGTATTTTTTAATTTAAAGTGACATTTGACATCTAACAAAGGCAATTTTCTTGGGGTATATTATGACACAAGTAACCTCCAAACAAGAGCTTTGAAAGGAAGATGAGAACATGACTATGATTCTATATGTGTTGCGAGGGATGAACTCATAAAACACCAGCTGGACTAGCTGATGTTCAAGTAATTGATGCAATTGTTCTCCCTCCCTTCACAGTGGAAAGAGGTGGGAAGAAAATGTTTCTCTCACCAAGGAAATTGGGGCTCATCTGGGCCCCTTTTCTTATGCTGCAACCCTCAAGCTGTAGCTATATATTAGTACACTGTCTACATTAGGAATGATATGCATATACATTACATTTTAAATATGGCTGAAGGGGACTGAGCTTACAAGAAGCAGCTTTGTGCATCCAATCAGCAGCTAAGGGTCTTGATAAACCTTATCAAATATTTACATTTTATTTGCATCTTGGTAAAAACAAATTACCAAATAGAGCGCCCTTCACATTGAGATGGTGAATATAATATTAAAATCTGATGAAAAGCAACTTTAACAGGAAGTTCTTGGTGCCTTTGTTTCTACAAAAGCTAGTACATATTGCAACTATTACTTTGCTTTTTGTAGAATTGTCTCTTTAAATGTCTGATGCTACAACTGCCACATCTCTTCCGATCGCCAAATACTTCCTCCCTGAAGTCCCTGGAAGAAGATTGCAACATCTAGTAGAAGATGGGTAAGTGCATGGATGGATGCACCTATGTATTTATGTATACGCATAGATGGATGGGTGGACAGATGGATGGATGGAAGGATGGATGGAAGGATGGATGGAAGGATGGATGGATGGACAGTTGAATGGATAGATAGATGAATGAATAGGTGGTTGGTTGGATGGATGGATGGATAGATGGATGGATGGGTGAAAATATGAGATGAACAAAGATATAAAGTGTGGGAATATAATAATGCTGAGGGGAAAGAAATTCCACTTACTCTTTCTACATGTTACTGTAATGGTGGGCTTTTCCACTGGTGCCCCAGTTCCAAAAATAGAAATTCTGATACTTTGTTATTTATTAATATATGCATAGCCCATAAGCTTTGGGTAATTTCCCAATTAGCTCATAACTTATTTTAACCATTTATTCTGTTCTTTGTGTGCCACATGACTGGTTACCTCTCCTCAGTGTCATGTGTCTGTCTTCCTCAGAGTCCAAACCTCCCTCTGACTCTATCCCAGAGTTCATCTCTCTCTGATAGAACTCCAACCTCCTATTTCCTGCCTCAGCTAATAGGCCATCAGCTCTTTATTGACAGGTGATGTTTCCATACGGTAGATGAAAGATTCTCTCTATACATGTTACCCGCATTTATTCTGGCCACTTACAATGTTCTTGGCAAAAAAATAAAGTGATACTATAAAACTAATTGGCTTTATCTTTGTGAAGCTAGTTCAGAAGTAGGAAATCCCTGTATGCCATCTCCATTTTAAAAATGTCTTCATTTCTGTAACCTCAACTGCTAAAATACATGATGACACAGTAATGGTTAGATTCATTACTCATGTCTGATGTTCAAAAATGATCACTGTAGCAGGTATTCATGGAGTGTATTGCAATCACTGGCAACTATTGACCTGAAGCTTTATGTGTCGTGTTTCATTTGATTTTCTGAAGCTCTCTGCAGTAATGGCATTATGGGGTTTATTTTTCAGTTGAGAAAGCTAAGGATAAGAAAGCTCAGCTATCTTCTCTGAATAAAGGCGGCTGATAAGGAGCAGAGCCAGCCTCCCGAAACTAAGATCCTAACATTTAACCAGGATGCCACTCTGCCTCCTTGAGGATTTAGGGCACAGACCCATTCAGAAGACACTATAAGCAAACCGGTAAGATGGTTGGGGAGGGCACTGTTTGCTTGTTTCGCTTATTAGAAAGCCTTCACTGTCCTTGTTCAATTCACGGTTATAAAAGAGCACATCGTATGATGGGAGGTAGCTCGGTGTTGAGCACTTGCCTGGCATGTGGGAGACCTTGGCTTTGCCCCAGCACTGCAAAAGCAAACAAAAAGAGCAGAGAGAAACCTTTTGAATAGAATCATCATGCAAACATCTTCTGTTGGCTGCCTTGTAAAATCACACGCTAGAGCCAAAAGTGATGGTGAGTGCCAGAAGCCACAGACTGGAGAGGGCGAGGCAGGGTTGAGTCCAAGAGTTTGGGACCACGGTTGGAATTATAGCAAGAACCCTTCTTCATTTAAAAAACTACATTTGGGGGGCTAAGAGAGCACAGTTCAGTAGCAGAGTGCTTGCCTAGCATTGCATAGGGCTCTGGGTTCAGTTCCAGCACCTCTACTATGGGCTTTACCACAGCCTCCCTTTCCATTTCTTAAATTATTTTTCAGGTTGGCGTATAAAGTACTAAGTGGATTTCATCATCGTATCTTTGTAAGTTTGCGTCTTTACATTTTGTTCTTATTCATCCCCTGTCCCTGCTGTCCTCCCGTGTGCTTGCACCCAACTGAGCTTGTCTGCTTCCCCCGCCAGTTAGTTCTCCCGCTTTTGCTTTAACAAGACAATTTAAGTGTGTATGTACTCATTAATAAAGAGTAGTTTTAAATTTTATTATTATAGGTGAACTCTTCCCTTCTTTCTTTGCAAGCATTAGGAAACTTTAGATGCTTTCTTAAAATTTCTTTAAGCATGCTGTTTATACTTTTCCCGGTAGCCCTTTGGTTATGCCCTGCCGAGTCTGAGGCCGATTATGGTTTTGAAACACTGTCGTCTCCTTCGATGACCAGAATAATGACAACACAGGAGTAATTCAATGCAGATCGGTGAGCTTTTCTAGGAACAAATGTGAGAAAGCTACAAAGCACCGGGAATGGAAACGGAATGCATGTGTGTACACACATACACACACACACACACACACACACACACACACGTATGTGCACACATTCACACACTCACGCTCACACATGCACACAAAGACTCACACCACAGGCACTCATACATTTCTGTTGACTGCACGCTCCAATTGTAATCTGTGTACTAGATTACCTGGAAAGTCATGCACTTTTGGTTTTTAATCTTACATATAAGATAGAAGAGGAACATTTCCTGACTGCTCTGAGGTAATGCTCTGTCCAGCCAGAAGGAAAAACTGTCCCCTCTTCTGCTTCAATCCCTGTGTTGTGCTTCAGATGGAAGGTCTAAGCTGTTCTTGCAAAAGTCTCCAAGATTCAGGAAGCAGCTCATGTGTTCAGCAATCTTTCTTTTTCTTCTTTCTGACATATCACAGGAGCTAAAAGCCAGATCTATGTAAATCAGAGTAAAACACCACAGTATAAGGAAGAAGGATAAGTCTGGAGATGATCACTCTAAAACATAATAACAATTCAAATTATTTTAAGTGGAGAATAAAACAGAATTGGCAGACATAAAGAAAATGATTCTTCATTGTTTGATTGTTTGTGGTTCTGAGGTTGAACTGAAGGCCTCGCACATACTATTTAAGTGCTCTGTACTGACATCTACACCTCTCCCTGACACTTTAATTTAAATACTTAAAATTCTGTACAATATAGGAAAGATAATCCTTCAAGATGAGGGAATTATTGTCCCTTATACCTCCCAGCTGTCTCTATATATAATTTGATTACCTTACTTTGAATATTTCTAGTATCTTCTAGAGTATGGAAACACCCCTTTATGTTTTGTGTGTGGTTATGAGTGAAAAGTAAAACAGAAGCTGGGCATGGTGGTGTGTGCCTATAATCCTAGCACCCGGGGAGGCAGAGACAGGCACATCTCTGTGAGTTCAAGGCCAGCCTGCTCTATAAATAGAGTCCAGGACAGCCAAGGCTTCTCAGAGAGACTCTGTCTTGGAATATTAAAAAAAAAAAAAAAGGAAAAATAAAAGAGAAAAACGGAATTCTATGTCGATTATTTGTGAAAATCTACCAGTGCAAGATGGCATATGGAAAACAGTACAAATTAGGCACTCTAGACATTTCTCTGTTGTGGCATTTATTTTTATTCTTAGTGCCAATTGATTATGGCTGCTGAAACTAGATTCAGCTTAGGAGAAAACATTGGGCTGGAATTACTGGTAAACAGGCAGAGCACTTTCTGCATGAGGTCAGCTACAGGCCAGTCAATGAAAACTGTCATCTTTTAGAACCCTGACATGTCCAAATCATGTTCCTTTCCCTCTGTCTACTTTGTCACTGTAAAGGCCACATATAAGGAATAACTTTTGTGCTGGCCACAAGTAATGTTACAGTCATGAAATTTGACGATGTTAAAAAAAAAAAGTGAGGGCACTAATGTAAAATGTTGTAGGTGACTCAACTAAAAATACATGAAAGCAACCAATTCAACATGGGCTAAGACCCGAACAGAAATTTCTCAAAAGAAAATATACAAATGATCTCTTTTTAAAAATAGGATAAACCTACTAAAATCTGTACATCTAAAGAAACTAATCAAGGGAGAGGACCCTGACTAACACGCTTAATCCCCATCCCGAAAGGCAAAGAGGATGGACATCAGAAGAAGAAGAAAACAGGAAACAACCTAGGAACCTGCCACAGAGGACCTCTGAAAGGCTCTGCCCTGCAAACTATCAAAGCAGATGCTGAGACTTATGGCCAACTGTTGGGCAGAGTGCATGGAATCTTATGTAAGAAGTGGGAAATAGTAAGATCTGGAGAGGACAGGAACCCCACAAGGAAAGCAACAGAATCAGAAAATTTGAACACAGGGGTCTTCCCTGAGACTCATACTCCAACCAAATACCAGGCATGGAGATAACCTAGAACCCCTGCATAGATGTAGCCCATGGCAGTTCAGTGTCCAAGTGGGTTACATAGTAATGGGAAGAGGGACTGCCTCTGACATAATCTGCTCTTTAATCACCTCCCCCTGATGGAGGAGCAGCCTTACCAGGCCACAGAAGATGACAATGCAGCCACTCCTGATGAGATCTGATAGACTAAGATCAGAAGGAAGGAGAGGAAGACCTCCCTTATCAGTGGACTTGGGGAGGGGCATGCATGAAGAAGGGGGAGGGAGGGTGGGACTGGGAGGGGAGGAGGGAGGGACTTATGAGGGGATACAAAGTGAATAAAGTGTAATTAATAAAATAAAATTTAAAAAAATTCTTAATATTACTAAGTGGGGACATTCATACTACTGCACATTAAACTTTCATAGTAGAATGACTCTCATCAAAAGAGCAAAAGTAGAAAGGCTCTTAAGGTAGCTGAATTGCAAGGACCCAAGTTCCATGCCCAGGTGCCGCCATGCAAAACAGCCAGACGTGTTAGTACTCACATCTGTCCTGAGAGAGAGAGGAATCCCTTAGGTTACCTGGCCGGATAATCTACCTTATTTGGTGAGTTCCAAGCCAATGAGAGACCCCATCTCAAACAAACAAACAACCCAAGCAAAACAAAACACAAACAAACCAAAAAAAAAAAAAAAAAAAAAAAAAAACAAAGTAGGTGGCACCTGAAGAAGGACACCCGAGATTGGCCTCAGGCCTCTACACGTCTGTACAAACATGCACTCACATGTACCTGCAGACACATGAACACACACAAGGCAAAAGATAAGTGTCGGTGTTATGTGCACAAAAAGAAACTTTTCGCACCATTCACGGAAGTGTACGTTACGATACCCATCACAGAAAGCACTGTGGTGATTCCCCCATCACCAAGATTCAAACCGCTGGGGCGAGGGACCTGCGACCCAGCGGCAGAGCCCTCCTGACACACGCCATGTACACGGCCCTGATTTTAATCCCCAGAACTACAAAAGGAAAAAAAAAAAAAAGAAGAAGAAGAAGAGCTGAAACCTCAGCAGCCCTACTATCTCATCCAGAAATACCACACCTGGACATATATTCAAAGAAAATGAAGTCATCATGGCTCAAATACACCTACATATCTGTATTCATTGCAGCATTATTCATAATAGCCAAAATATGGATCCAACCTGCCTATTCATGATGATGGGTAAAGGGCATGTAGTATATGTGCTCTCTCTTTCTCTTTTTCTCTCTCCAAAAAGAAGGAAACACTGTCATTTGTAACATCTGTATTTTCTATAATGAATATAGTAACCTACATTTCCGGCAACAGTGTGAAGGTTTTTACACACACACCACCGTGTGCATAAAATGACAGCGGGGAAACTGCAGATACTGTCCGATGTGAAATAACCCCAGCACAGAAAGACAATCCACTTGAACTTACTCGTGTGTAACCTGGAAGACGGAGAGAGTGGTGGAATCTGGAAGACTGGTAGACAGTAGGATGTGTTTGCCAGAGGAGGGGCAAGGGTGTACAGTCAAAAGTGGGAGGATATTTATTGTCAATGGACACTTGGTTAGACAGGATGAATGATCTCTGAGTCACCATTACAAAACATGATGACTGTGGTTAGTGATAACACACTGAGTATGTGACAACTGTGGTAGAATCAAGCCTAGGCCTTCTTACTGAAAATTATAAACATATTAGGTGATAGGTATGTTAATTAACTTGGTTTTATCATTGTTCCATATACATGTATCAAAACACACTGCGCAGAGAATAGATATTTTTTCTTTGTCATAGGTCTTTGTGTGTGGTGTGTATGTATGTTCTTTCTGTTGTTTTATTTTTTTGTTTGTTTGTTTTTAATTTACTTTTTAGTTACATCCCAATCCTGGCCCCTCCTTCTTCTGCTCCCAGTCAGTCCCATCCTCCTTACCTCTTTCCCCATTCTCCTCCCCTAGACCTCAGAAAGGGGAGGTCCTCCTCCTCTACCAACTGACCCCAGCCTAACATCCTCTTCCTCTGTGGCCTGGAAAGGCCACCCCAGTTGGAGGAAATGATTAAAGAGAAGGCGATAGAGTCCATTCAGAGACAGCCCCTGCTCCCCTTACTAGAATCCACATGGAGACTGGGCTGCCTATTGGCTACATCTGAGCAGGGGGCCTAGGTCCATTCATGCATGGTCCTTGGTTGGTGCGTCAGTCTCCATAGGTCCCCCGGGCTCCAATTTTTTGGCTCTGTTGGTCTTATGAAGCTCCTGTCCCCTCTGGGACCTTTTATCCCCACCCCCGAACTCTTCTGTAAGACTCCCTGCACTCTGCCCAAAGTTTGGCTCTGAGTCTCAGCATCTGCTTCAATCCCCTGCCGGGTGGAGTCTTTCAGAGGACATTTATGGTAGGCTCCTCTGCTGTTCACTCTCAACAACTTCTTGTGTCTATTCTATTTGCTCTTTTGAATGAGAATTAAGCATCCTCCCTAGGGTCTTCCTTGTTACTTAGCTTCTTTAGGTGTATGGATTGTAGTATGGTTTCTGGTATTATATAGATAATATCTGCTTATAAGTGACGAGATGCCATGAGTGTCTTTTTGGGTCTGCATTACCTCACTCAGGATGATCTTTTCCAGATCTATCCATTTGCCTGCAAATTTCATGATGTCCTTGTTTTTAATAACTGAATAATACTCCAGTGTGTAGATGTACTACATCTATTCTTCGGTTGAGGGACATCTAGGTTGTTTCCAGTTTCTGGCTATTATGAATAAAGCCACTATAAACATAGTTGAGCAAATGTCCTTGTTCTATGGAACATCTTTTGGGTATATGCCCAGGAGTAGTATAGCTGGATCTTGTGGTAGAGCTGTTCCTAATTTTCTGAGAAAGTGCAAGATTGATTTCCAACAGGGTTTCTCTGTGTAGCCTTGGCTGTCCTGGAACTCACTCTAAAGAACAGGCTGGCCTCGAACTCACAGAGGTCCGTCTGCCTCTGCCTCCCCGAATGCTGAGATTACAGGCG